TGGACACAGAATTGACCTGTGCCTCCATGGACAGCTGTGAGTCCAGAATGACTCCCAGGCTGCACACCTGGTCATTCAGGGACTCCCAGCGGATGCATGTAGATGTTGAAAAGCACAGGGGAGGGGACAGAACCCCACAAGTGAGAGCCCAGGGGTCTGAACACTCATCCCCCCCCTACTTTCTGAACACGGCCCAGGAGGAAGGAGCGGAACCACGGTCTAACAGTGGCCCCAGCTCCCAGACCCTCTAGATGGTCCAGAAGGATGTTATGGTCGATGGTGTCCAAAGCCGCTGAGAGATCCAGCAGAACTAGGAAACAGCTCTCACCTTTGTCCCTAGCCTGCCGGAGATCGTCGACTAGTGCGACCAAGGTAGTTTCAGTCCCATGATGAGGCCTGAATCCCGACTGGAAGGGATCCAAATGGTCCGCTTCTTCCAGGCGTGCCTGGAGTTGTTCAGCAACCACTCGCTCAATCACCTTGCCCAAGAATGGAAGATTTGAGACTGGGCGATAGTTGGCCATAATGGCAGCATCTAAACATGGTTTTTTAAGAAGCAGTTTGATAACCGCCTCTTTCAGCGGGTCTGGAAAGGCTCCCTCACAGAGAGAAGCATTCACCACCCCGCAAAGCCCATTGCCCAGCCCTTCCCGGCTAGCTTTTATAAGCCAGGATGGGCAAGGATCAAGGGGACAGGTGATTGGTTTCATTAAAGATTGAAATATTGGTTATTATGCTTTATAATGTAACATTGCATTTTGTAATGTATCCTTATTTTCTTTTGCCTGATATGCCAATGGTTCGAAAGTGAACTCCTGAAATTTTTGTCCTTCCTTATTTTTTGACTATTCTTATGTTGTTTGGTTATGTTTCCTGCATAATATTTATTTTTGGGGGTGTTGCATTTCAAAATTATGCTAAGGAAAAACAGACTTCATAGTTACTGTAATTAATGGTGTACTAGGAGTGATATCATTGAAGTCAGTTGCATTGCTCTTGTGGACGACTGGCTCCGAGCCTCTGTGTAAAAGGACATTTTTTCTCCTTGTGGGCACTGCCTGCCTCCTCCCAATCTTTCTCCCTCCACAGTAACCAAGGCAACTCTGTTTTGCCCAGTCCCAAAGGTGCTTCTTTAATATGTTAATGACTGACCATTGTTTCATAATGGCTTGCACTCAGCTAGCCTGGGCCAGGTTAGTTTGCATAGGTTAACCCCAGGAATTCCCATGTTTGGCACAGTTCAGGAGAGCTGCTGCAGCCTGTATTTTCCCTTCAATGTCCTAAATACAGTATTATCTAAATTCTACCATTTTACTAATTTTTAACATTCACTAACTCTAGATCTGTAAGAGGGTGATGGTAGAAACTTGGGGAATTAACATGTTGGGTGTGTAAGTTTTCTTCTTCATTCATTCTGAGGGGCAGGTGGGGCTCTCATCAACCTGGGAAAGTAGCCATCTACGGGAAGGAAATTTCTGATCTTAAACCTCCATTGCCTTGCAGGACATCTTCGGGAGAAGTAAAGGCTAAGGAGTAAACCCTACACAAATCCAGAGTGCAGTCCCTAAGATGGTTGGATGGCATCTTACATGCCTCCTTCTGGCAACTCCTTCAGCCAGGCTGGTGCCAAATGTATTGCTCTGCTTTCCTTTGGTCCACATCAGTGAGGCCAAGAGGGGGTCCTTGATGTTTGGGCAGCCCTGCCCCTCCATACACACCACCCAAGCTTGTGCCCTAGGAAGGTCACTTCAGTGTGCTAGCACAGCGGTTTGACCTCATCCCCAAAGGCTCACTCCATTGTCTCTAGAGACAGATGCCAACATTCATATATATTAGTTTGCATGTTTGAGCTGCTCTACTGTTCTCAATTTTATTTATTTTTGGTAGAATCGAAACTTTTAAAAAACAAAGTGCACATGCACCTATCTGGTCCCATACACAGTTGGTATTCAGTTGGTATAATAGATTCAACAAATTAGAAGGCATGGACAAATACAAAAGGGAAAGCTACTAGTATGAATAGGAAATACCAAAGTTGTTCCTCATACACAAAATAACCTGTTGGTGTGTGCTACTCCAGTCGAAGTAGCAGTTGAAGGGGGGGGGGGATTTATAGCTAAATAATACTCAGATGTGGACAAGTCCTATGTATGTACTGTTGTAACCCTTTGTTTGTCCTGAATCTCTCACCCTCCACAGGATGGCTCCAGGTGGTAAAAATTTTATGAAAGAGAAAAGTTCTCCCTATCCACATTCTTTCTGCCATGGACAGTTATATAAACTTCTGTTATGCCCCCCCACCTAAATCCCCCCCCCATGCTAAGAACCTCAACATTGTAACCTGTAACCTCTTACAGGAGATGGCTGAACCCCCTGATAGTTTTAGTTCTCATTTTCTTTATCCTTTTCAACTCCTCAACATGAGGCGACCAGAAGAGAACACAGTACAGGCAGACACATACAACAAAATTATCCATTTTGTTCCTTGCTTCTCTGTCTTCTGAATGGTAGTTCCAGACTCCCTATGAGTCTCTCATTTTGCATGAGAGACATTGCTGACTCTAGTGTCTAGGCTTGCCACCGTCTTCGCTCAGAGAAACTGTGATTTCTGCGTGACAGGCAGAAATCTATGTCATGCTTTCCCCCGGCAAAAGTGCCAGGGACAGTTTCGTGTGTGCATCCCCCCACCCCAGTAAAACAGCTCTCCAAGAAAGGGAGGCACCTCTTCTATTTAATCTGGAACCACTGTGTTAGCAGATATTTTCAGAGGGCCTTGAGATCAGATTCTGACCTGGCCTGAAATGCATTGTTATATTAGTGAGCCCCACAGTTTTCCTGCTGTAACAATTTTCCCTTAGAAGGAAAATCATTTTCATCTGCAGGGTAGGGAGAAGCATAATGAACAGGCAGGGATCAGTATTTTCTTTCTCTGCTAGTCTTTGCTAGCTCAGCTAATTCATAAAGCCATCCAGATCCCTTCCTCCCTCTCCCAGTTTAGCTGCACTACCGCTAAACAGAGGTGTAGGAAGATACTGTTTCCCTGGAAGTATGGATGACTAGTGCAAGAGCAGGGAATGTGTTGTGTGCGTCACCATGGCTGTTGTTTCAGGCTGGGTGCACTAAATTTCTTCCTGGAAGACTAGCTGGGTGTGGGAGTTGGCTTATTGAAAAGGAATCTCTCTTGTTTGGTCATTTATTTCATATCAGTTCTGCAAAAGCTTTGCCTAAGCCGCTGATTTATGAGTTGGCAGCTTGCACAGTGGTTCCACTTTCCTAAATAGCTAGGCAGAAGGGAGGACTAAAATCTGAGGATGCCAAAATGCCAGTTTAGTGACTGCAGTTCTCTTGACAGAGGGAGAAGGCGAGAGAGAGAGCTACACTAGGAAAAGAGAAAGTACTGTAAAGGGGCTTCAATATTTCCATCCTACTTAAATGAAGGCTGCCTTTATCTAGGATTCAGTGCTCACTGTTTTAAATCTATATTATTGAGGTTCCATAGGAATAGCCTCTAACTCTTATCCTGAAAAAAATATCCACATCCCTTGTTTTCCTTCTGACACAAGTGGATGAAGTTAGCAGGTATACAGACATCTCCTTAGTAGGTAAGACCTGCCAAATTATAGACAAATAGGTCCAGAGGTTTGTTTTGTTTTTTTGTACTGGACACCTTCCAAAATTTACACCCCCTCTAACAAAAGAACAATCTCACTTTCTTGTTTTTAGCAGAATTAGATCCAATTTGCAAGCAGAGTATCTCCTTCTGAGGGGATGAATCCTGCCAAATTTCAGTAAAGTAGCACCTTTTCCACCTGGTCTGGGAGGGTGAGGCCCTGACTGACTCCAGCTACAAAAGCTGAGGCTCTTGACCAGAATCCTGGGCTGGGGTATTATTTAGAGGTTTTTGTTGGGAAAGGGTTGTTGCGGTCAATTTTTTGTGTCTTTATTTTGTAACATGATTTATGTGGAAATTGTTCAGTTGTGTTCTTTTTGGTGTTTTGTTTATTATGACTACTTTTGTGTTGTTGTTGTTTTAAAGTTACATAACTACAAACATATGTTGTAAGCTGTCTTGAGCAAGATATTGATTTTGGAAAGGAGGCACACAAATGAAATTATTGATTGATTGATAAAAGCAGCCAATGTACATGTGCCAATAGTGGTTGCAGTTTCCAAAATGTATTCAAGCGTAGCCCCCACATACAGTGCATTGTACTGATCTAATCCAATGTGACTGAAGATACTCATGTTATGACAATTAAAAGGTAAAGGTAAAAGACCCCTGACAGTTAAGTCCAGTAGCAGACGACTCTAGGGTTGCGGGGCTCATCTCCTTTATGGAAGCTAATTATGGGATTATTAAGGAAGGCAGCTGATTTCAAGCACTTATTTTTAGAGTGTGTGTGTTTTGGGTAACTAGTGGTGTTTGGTGAGGGGGATTATAGTGGACAATGCGACTTTGAGAGGTTTAGGAGGAATCTTGAAGAAAAGGGTTTTTGTTTCTTTTAAGGCAAAGTGTGTTTCTTTAATAAGCCCGAGCTCCTCGCCTGCCCGTCACAGGGTAACGTCCTTCGTAATTGGACTGTATGCCCGGTGCCGCTCTGGAGCCACGCCTTTCCTCACACGGGGTTTCCAGTCCTCAGTTTCCAGGGTTTCTACTGTGCAGCGCACCTATCCTTGGCGGGCAAAGTAGCCACACCTCCACAGAACCTTTCTCCTAATAACGAAAGGAGCGTCGCCTCATTGGTCTTCGTCCGAATCGGCGATGACCATCTCCGCCTTCAGAACTCTTTCCGCAACAGCTATTGACTAATGCGGACGTCAGTCCTACTAACCGGCTTTGCGCTCGCTGTGGCGCGATTGGCCTCTCTGGATGTCAACCGCCTCCCCTCCCTCCCTTACGGCCTATCGTTCTCCGAGCTGGGCATCGAGCCGGCTCCTAACTGGCTGCGGGCATGCCATAATGTTAGGTTGCGCGCCGGGTATATTTAGCCGGTGGCTGAGCACGCTGTTGCGTGAGGTGCTTCTCGTCCCCTTCGGCCTGCCTGCCCGCCTTGTACGGAGTGAAACCGCCTCCTCCTCCTCCGCGTCCAGCTCCGCCTCGCCCGCAGGTTGGTGCGGGAGGGGCGCAGAGGGGTCACGTCCTTCACGGGGGTCGAGGGAGCCGCGTACCCCTGAGGCGTCTCCGCCGCCGCCACCGTCGCCATAGACACGCGGAGTCCCGGCGGCGCTCCTCCCCCTCCTTGTCCCGCGCCGCTTTTCGCCCCGCGGCCTTCAGCTTCGGGGCGGGAGCGGGACGCCGGTGGCGGGTGGGCAAGCGGTGGGGGTGTCCGCTGAGCCGAGGGGGCGCTCGGGGCTGGCGGGCGTTTGCCTGGCGGTATATTGAGGAGGGGGAGAAAGGGGAGGTTGGGGCATAACGGGGAGCGGCGAGCGGGGCACCCTCGGCGTGGCCGGGCCTGAGCCGTTAACAAGCCCTCTGGGTAGCAAAAGCGAGGCGAGAAGGACCCGCCCGTAGTGCGTGATCTAGAAGAAGTGGGCAGAGAGAGCGGCTGGGCGGCTGTTAACGGGTCGCTGCGCTGGCCTGCGAAGGGAACTCGGTGCTGGCTTAACGACGAGGGTCTCCTTTCTGACATGCGGAGGAGGCGGCGCCCAGCCTGGCGCGGTCCTCTCCCTCCCTACTCGATTGCTCGCCCCGCGCTATGAATAACTAACTAGGAAGGTTCCTGATCGTGCATGTAAAGCGGCCTACAAAGGGGAGGGGGGTGGGCAGGGGGAACGGGACCCTCTTGAAGCGCCGTTGCCGCCCTCCCCGCGCTTCTCTCGCGCCTCCAGAACCACCCACCCCACCAAACAAAAACCCGCGAGCTTTGTGAAAGAGCGGAAATGCACGAACGGTGCTCGTTCCACCGGTGTAGGGGGCGGAGGGGGAAAGCGACGGGAGGTGCGAGACGCCGCTCCGTTCACTTGCCCGCGGGAGTAGCTGCGTAGGAACCGGAGCATAATGGTGCTCCTTTTCAGTGGGGCAGACGCTTGTGAAAAGGGGCCGCGGAAGTGAGCTGTGCTTCATTGTGCAAGGCTAGGCAGACGGAGCTGCAAGCTTTTGTCCCTTGCCGCACGCAGCCTGCTTTTTCCTAGCGCGCAGGCAAAAAAGCTAGGCTGGAATATAGAGAGCTAAGTAGCTTTGTTTTAAAGTGGCGTAGCCTTTCACTTGAGAGGTGAGATCGGCAGTGTTTTAAACAACCCTGTGCTGTGGACGCCTAAAAGCCAAAAAACCAAAGCCCTCCCAACAAGTTTTTGCCTGTAAAAAATAAAGTAATAAAGGCAGAAAAGTAAGGACACTTGCTCAAGGTCAGTCTTGGCGTGTTCATAGAAACTTGATTAAGCATGCCTGGAGCTTCTAGTAATTTCCAGGATCTTACTAAAAACTATTAGTTTTTCTGTTGACATAGCTTTAATGGGAATCGTTCACGGGCATGTTTTTCTGATAATTGAAATCTGGTTGTGTCAGGTGGCTGCATCATAATCTATTGCGGAGTATTTGTAGCAAGTAGCCATGTTTCCAGTTTGTGCTATTTTTGTCTGCCTCTCCCATGGACACAGTGCTAGGTTTAGGAAAAGCAGGCAGACTACTAAGCTATAGAAAAATGCCCATTTATTAAGAGCTACTGTTTTGGGGGCACTTGCAGGGCTCTGGTCAGTCATTAAGTAAAAGATAATTCCGCTGCTAAGGTGTTCTGTATGGTTAAGTGGAAAAATACCATCATGTGTTCCCATAAGGTTTCACAAAGATGCCAACCATTTCAAATTTGCTAAATGCATAAATGAGACTTAAATGAATTTATCAATTGCTTGGCATCAAATCTTTTTTGCACTTCTGTTTGTAGCAGCCAAAACAGCAATGGTAAAGTTTGCATTGTGCTGTCCAGACATGCTCTTCTGTGTACTTAACTGGAAGTGCTGCTTGAACTATTATATCTAAAAATAGCAGACCCTGGTGGTAGAATCCATTTTAGACTAAAATTTTCACCTGGTGTACTGAACTTTTTGTATTTGAATAAAACAATCTCAGGAGTTTTAGAATGTATATGTATAATCAATAGGGTCTTGGGTAATGAAATGTTGGATTTAACAGATTCCTTTTTTGGTTCATACGCTAATAATTTAAAGGAGTTAATAATAGGTATTCCCTACAGGTCATTTTTAAAGACAAACTACACGAAACAAACTTCTGCTTTCTTTTATATGGAGAGGACTTACATATTTCAGATATGCTACTGGCTTATTGACTTTTAAGCTAAGGATACCTTAACAAAGACAAACTAAGAAAATAAGGTAGTTGGATAAATTTCCTTACAATGTACTTCTGCTCACTCACCTAGACTTAAAAGTCTAGCAATAAAACAAGCATGAAGACAAGAGAAATGCCTTGATGGGTCATTTTGTGGTGGATTAATGCTCTCTAAATTTACCCACTCATAGTCCGCTGCTTGAAAGTTGCAGCAGAATTTTAGAGTTGTGATGCTCTAAACTAGGGAGTGAGAAACCTGACGTACTCCAGATATTGCTAAACCAGAAGTCAAACCATTCCAGACCAAGATACTGGTTTTGGCAAATAAAGATCTGAATAGCTTAGGCTCAGGTTACCTGAAGAAGCTACTTTCCCCAAACTGTATGGGCTTTCAGATCAGAGGAGGCCTTTTTGGCAATGCAGCTCCATTATAGAGCGTCATTTCCCTTGAGGTTTGGATAGGAACCACTGGAGTGAACTTTTATTTTCTTCCAGGCCATCCAAGTTACGTATAACTACATTCCACTATCCCATCTCAGATCCTTGTATTGTTGAATTGTACTGGAAAATTTTAACTGTGTGTTATTGGCCTATTGTTTTTAAATTATAACTTGCCCTGAGATCTTCTATATAAAGTAAATAAAATTGTGACCCTACCCTCTACACTGCAGAACTCTGAGCGTTGGTAATACTTAACTGGAACTGATGGAGATTGGAGTTCCATCAGCATTTGAAGGGCATAAGGTTTCCTATCCCTTCACTAAACTGACATTGGCTTTTTAAGATTGGGGAAAATGTAGGGTTGTAGTGATCAATAGCTAATCCATAGATAGCCAGGAAAAGCAGCTACAAAATTACAGTAGGTTTGAAAATTATATAAATCAACACATACATTTATTTATACATCTTTTTGATTATACATACATAAATTTATTAGTGCTTGATCTCAATATGCAGTGAATTCCAAAGTGCAGGGAGTGTCACATTAAGTGACCAAGTTCTTACAGATGTGGAATGGGCATTATGTGACACCTGTAGTAGTGTCAATTCTGCTGACTGAAGAGGTTGGGTGGCACATGGGATAAGGTGATCTTGTAGGTAAACTGGTCCCAAGTTGTTGAGGGCTTAATGTACCAATAGTAGCACCTTGAACTTTGCCCAGTAGCAAATTGGCAACCAGTGCAGATTTCTGAACATAGGTGTTATATGCTGACAAGGCGTCACTCAGTAGTCATGGTGCAGCATTCTGCACTAACAGCAGCTTCTAGATCAAGCACAAGGGAAGCCCCTTATATAGAGCACATTGCAGTAATCAAGTCTTGAAGCAACCAACACATGAACTACTGTGGCAAGACTTTCCTGGTCCAGGAATGGCTGTACCTGTCAAACCAGCCGTGGTTGGTAAAAGGCACTGCTAGCCACTGAGGCTACCTAAGCCTCCAGAGATAGAGCTGGATCCAGAAGCACCCCCAAACGGCAAACCTGCTGTTGAAGAAATAATTGTGAAATATGAGTTTGAAAAAGCTTTTACGTAAAACTGTTTAGGATTAACTACATTTTTACCTCTCCCCACACTCCAAACAGTTTGCATGTGACAGTTACTCAAATTCATAGTTCTGAATTCAGTTTCATTTCTGAAATGTTATTCTGTGTTTTAAACGTGATATCACCCATCTTCAGTGGTGTTTAAGTCAAAACCACACTTAAGTACAGACTGGGCAGTTTAAACACTTTACTGGATCTTATGCACTCTATAAAATAAGTCTTGAGTGAAATCCAGAAGGTGCAAATCAGCTTAGCAGTTGCATTTCACTTCTATTTGTAAACCACTATGATTTACATTTTGGGACGCGGGTGGCACTGTGGGTAAAACCTCAGTGCCTAGGACTTGCTGATCGTAAGGTGGGCGGTTCGAATCCCCGCGGCGGGGTGAGCTCCTGTCGTTCGGTCCCAGCTCCTGCCTACCTAGCAGTTCGAAAACACCCCTAAGTGCAAGTAGAGACTGCTTTATAGCGGGAAGGTAAACGGCGTTTCCGTGTGCTGCGCTGGTGCTGGCTTGCCAGATGCAGCTTCGTCATGCTGGCCACATGACCCGGAAGTGTCTTCAGACAGCGCCGGCTCCCGGCCTCTTGAGCGAGATGAGCACGCAACCCTAGAGTCGGTCACGACTGGCCCTGACGGGCAGGGGTACCTTTACCTTTACCTTTATGATTTACATTTAGGTAAAATAAGGAATTTTAAGGATTGAATGTTTTCAGCACCTTAAATGTTAACATTGCCTAAGAAAAGTTACGTTTAATGTTTAAAGTATTTCTTACACGTTACATCAACATCTTTACAACCTTGCAAGCCCTGGGGGCGGGGGGTTGAAACCTGTGGTCCTCCAGGTGTTTGTGAACTATGACTTCCATCATCCCCAGCCAGAAAGTTATTGGGGATGGTGAGAGTTGCAGTCTCTAACATCTGTAGAGTCGCATATCTATCACAACTGCTCAGTGTTAGAAACAGATGAAAGCTAGGAGCTAAATGGCACCTTAAACCTAGGTAATAGGCGTGTGTAGGTGCGTTTTTTTTAATATCAAGAATACAAAGCTAAAAATGAACTTCAGCTAAAATATGTTCATTTTTCACATGGTTTAGTCCTCCCCCTGCCCACCCCCCTAATATTCTTAAGAGGGTCTCCTCCAGTCTTCAGAGAGTAGCTGGAAGTGGGGAGGCAGAAAAAGCTCCACCTTTCCTTCCACTATGCAGTTTTTGTTACCTCTACTGCTGTGATCCAGTCTTTCCCGAGGGGGCCGAAAGCCAACAGTTTTAATCTGAAAT